CGGCACGGTTGTTGTTGTTGCTGCTGCTGCTGCTGCGGCTGGTTTTGACTCTAATTTTAGGGTACTTTTACTAAGCAAGCTGAGTTGAAGCACACATTGAGAGTCTCCTGCGTTACAAGGTGGTTGGTTGTCTTTCTTATTTCCCGGGTAGAAAATAACAACATACTGTTTTGAATAGAAATCGTTCCACTTCTTTGGTAATGCGGAAACTGGTGTCCCTCGAGATGGGCTGTACTCCCTCCATTCCATTAAATGTACCCACGATCCAACCATTTCTGTCCCATTGGTTTGTGAGCATTGGATTGTTCTTATATAAACAGATTCTGATCTGAAGTTAACAAGTGGCCCCACCTAAATAGTCTTAAACTGAATCCATCTAAATGTCATATTGTTGATTTTAGGTTCAGATGCGAACAGCACTTACATAGACTGATTCAGCCCTACGATTGCCGTAATATTGACGACACTGTGATCATAGGGAGTGAATCGAATATCTTTTATCTCGGTATCAGTTTCTCTTGGAATCTCTGTTGGTTGTTTCATATCCTGTTGATTTCTGAGGAGCGTTTTCGTTTGATTTATTAAATGAGGAAGAAGTTGAGGCTTTCTGTCGGCATAACTCAACCTCTTCTCTTACAATTTGTTAATTCATGTATTGTGCTCATTTTTCTTGATTGTTGCCGACTTATTCTTCCCTGTACATCTCAAAAAAGACTATATCATATTACGTAGAACACTGAAGACTGCAAGTAGGGTTAGTGGTGTGTGTGTGTGTGCCTTTGACTCAACTAACTGACATTGTTCTTGTCGATAGGCATTTTAATTCTTTTTAAGCAGTTGGCTAAAGTTATCTTGCCTGATGCTGAACATCCTCTTTATTCTCGAATTTTGCCTTGTATTTCTTCCGGGGGCTGAAACCAGAAGAAACTGCATAAGAATTTATGCTCATATGGCTACCAAATATAAAAATCCTACCATACCACCATGTTTAGCACGGGTTTAGTGTGTGAAGAGGGAGACTAGATTGTCAGAAAAGAACATATAAACTTTTTAAATCATTCAGTAATCTGAACTGCAAAGTATAAGCAAAGATTATTATTATTTTCAAAAGAATAGACACGGAACAAAGAGTACTCTTTTCGATAACCCCTTCATCATCAGGCTCTACAGTTATATATCCATCCATAACAGTGAATGAATGAATTAGTGTTATGAACAACATTAATGCTGTTTAAATAACATCGAATCAATAATATTGATAGATTGCAGCTCAATAGCATCAACATAAAATAAACTGAATGTCAGAAGAATTAGGAAAGGTAATAGTACAAATTTATGAGTTTATAGTCTCCACTGAGGGCCAGGGCAGTAGTAGGGGCACTGCATGCTCCAAACAGCAGAGGCTATTGCAATTCGCCTCAAACAACCAGTGCTTTGTGTCCAAAAGAAACAAGTCCAGCCCCTACTACTGCCCTGGCCCTCAGTAGAAACTATGAACTCATGAATTTGTAATATTATCTTTCCTAATTCTTCTGACATTCAGTTTATTGTTATTTTGATGCTATTGAACTGTAACCTATCAATATTATTGATTCTATATTATTTAAACAAAATTAAGTGTTGTTTATAACACTAATTCATTCATTCACTATAATGTGTGTATAACTGTCGAGCCTGATGATGAAGGGTTATCGAAAAGAGTATTCTTTGTTCAGTATCCATTTTCTTGAAAATTTTAATGGGCATTTTTAATCAATTATTATTATTATTATTACATGTATTATCTATGATTCAGTCTGCTTATACGCTCATTATGTTTCCACCAACATTCAATTTCTTATCATAATTTTTCCAAATTTTATGTCTACACATAAAAGTAGCTAAATTGTTACAATATGTGTGAAGAAAAGCCACTGAAAATTCCATTTTGCATAGTGTGTTATTGCTTTTTCGAATAAAGTGATTATTATTGTATTATTAAATACTACTGCAGTTATAGTGAAACAAAAACAATGACGAACATTTGACCTGAAGGTGTTGTTTATTAGAAACTGTGACTGGTGGCGGTAGATAGAGGTGTGCATGTGGAATTTCCTAAAAACAATTGGTTTAGGTTTCAATTGTATGCGGCTGGGTTGAAATCCCACCAAATCTACTTTGAAGCACGCCAACCTAGGGGAATATTTTTATTTTTATTTATTTTGATTGCAGTTTGATGTCACACCGTGTTTTCAGTACAAGTATGGAATTTTCAGCATGGATATCGGTAGCCCAAATTTTGCAGGCTGACCATAGATATCGGGTGTGCGTCGGCAGGGGATCGAACCTCGGACCATGTGCATGGTCGGCGAGAGTCCTAACCACATTCATTACACGAAAAATGAGTGTGACTCATTGTCTCATGCATGAAAATTCTGTTTCTTACTTAACTCATAAATGTGGGGGGTCTATTAAAGTAACTTTCCAACATTCAGTGACATAATAGGGGATAAAGTTCTGGATTTTCGTTTTATCGATTAGTCAGTCATCCAACACTATAGGACTTATTCAAGTATTGGTTTTTGTAGGGATTTGATTGATTGGTTACAGGATTTCATCATGAGCTGACATCTATTAGAGAACCATTGGAAAACCAGTAGTGGAGTACTGGACAGATATTTCGTCCTAGTTTGGAACCTTTCATCAGTACGCATCCACCACAGGGGTTCGAACCCAGGACTATAGCACTTATCAAGTGTCTTTATAAAATTATTATCTTTTTAAGAGTCTATTATCTTACCGTATCTAAACGAACTCTAAATCTATACTCCTCATTTTTTTTTCTTTTCCTTCACGTCCCCCAGTGGAACATAGGGCTTCAAGCTAGTGGCTTGAAGTTTCTGTGGCAGTGTTTATTTTACAGGATGGGGTTGCTAGTCTCATGCCCAACCTTTCCTCTTCAGCAGGATTATTTTTGGCTTAGCGAGGTAAAGGAGTGCGTCGGTGGCCGGGGATCGAGCCCCGGACCATGTGTATGGTCGGCGAGTGGCCTAACCGCTATGCCACCGACGCACATTAGGAAGCAATAATCGAATGATAATAAAATAAGGATGATGAGAATAACAATAATAACAATAAAAATAACAGAAAACTTTACTCCTCATGTATCTGATTCCAAATGCCAAAGCTGGAAGTTCCATAAATGAGATCTGACATGACTGAGAGTGCTGCCTCTTGAAATGCTCACATGTAGCCGCGCGTTTATACCATCTGCTAGTTATGTCTACGCGAGGCGGAGTGTTCCTCACAGAAGTGAACAGGTAAGCACGAACCTCCAGCGATTATAACCGGGTTAGTGGACATGAGCTCCAGAACCCGAAAGGATTGAAGAGCTTATAAACCTATTTTGATGATTTCCAACCACGGGGGACCGTAGCTCCTGACCATGTGTGCTCCACTGCCTTGCAGATCAGACTACAAGTCAAAGGCTTGGGGAGTGGGAGGGGTAGTTCTTGAAGACAACAGCCACCTGCTTCGATTTCGACGTCCGAGCAGCATATCCCAACTGTCTCCTACAAAGTAATGAGATTTAGTTTGGCGCATTTCGTTATGCTTCAATAAAAATAAAAATAATAATGGTTCTAACTTCGTCACACTAGAACTCGCCAACCAACAACCTTGCTGCCATGTCTCTCCTTCCCTCTCTGTCTCTCTTGGATAATCAGATGAGTGAATCTTTACTGTTATGATTTCCTAGGCGGTTCCTTCTAGGAATAGTAAATATAGTCTGTTAGTAGTTGCTTGTTACATGGAATTCTGTGTTTTATATCTTACGTATTCCTTAGTGGGGTCAACAATTATAGTCTAAACGACAATTCAGCGAAGAAAATTTCCTTCAGAGGCTGTACAATCGTATTTATATTTTAACCAAAAAAAGGAATAGTAGTCAGTTAATGAGTAAAATCAATGAGGAAAGGGTTAGTGACATAACTGCCAGAATTACTCATCCATCGGAAGTGGTTTCTATGAGAAGAGAAGTAGTTGACTGTTCACACGCCAGTTATGAAAATGGTGAGTGACGAATACTCAGTAAAATGTACCAAAGGAATATGTAAGAGGGACAGTAGTAAATCCGTACTGAAAATGACAGCGAACCGTTGGAAGAGAGAGAGAGACCGAGACTATTGTGGTGGTGAAATAAGACACTGGAAAAAAATACTACCCCTTCACACAGAGTTCGAGGCTGCAACACCAACTAATCACCAGAGCCTCCGCTATAAACAAATGCCAAAGCCTAACATTCATTGTACTATTAGGTCTCACTCTGTAGATAATCTTAGAAAACGACTTTGTCAAAACTGTGTGTGTTTGGCGTGAGTTTACCAGTTGCTAATTTCATGCATTGTCCTCTTGATAAGCAACCATGCCGGATTATGTTTCAAGGTGCTTTTGGAAGGCGTATACTTTGTGTGGCTAATATTGTGGTGAGAGCTGTCTGCAAGACAAAATTGCAGACAAAACTAGACGTCAATGTTTACGTCCTGAATCGAGGTCATGAGAAAAAAGACAATAACAAAGCTTAACATTGAGGAACTCACCAGCCAATGACACAGTAGACTTAACGTGTGCAAATACTATTCGCAGATATATATATATATATATATATATATGGCTTAACTTTCTAAGAAACTGTCACAAGCGGTACAGAATAGACTTCAGCAAGAAAACAACCAATCAGAAGACGTTGCTTCTCTGCTAACAATAACGAATAATCATGTGCATAAAAATCTATAAATATCTGTTGATTTTCTCAATAAACGATCTGTTGCCTGGTCCTTGTTTTCTGTCGTTACAATATAACTAACTGCACAGGAGCAAGTGGATTTGTAAACATGCACTGAAGTGGCACGAACTGATAGTTTCTTATATATAATAATGACAATAAAATAAAATATATTTTTTAATTAATATTATTAATTCCAGTTTCTGATGTTTTATTGATATGTATATTTATATAATAGAACTCCAATACAGCACGACTTCATCGACGTTGTCCAGAATATCAACGCCTGCAGGGAGTTATCAGTGTTCTATCAGTCTCATCATTGGCTATAATTCGTGATGCCCTATGGATGGATGGAAAAGGACCATTGTCTACAGAGTCCCGCATTACAGCGTTTGAGTTAAGTTGTCTAATTAAAGCATTGCATAGCAGTTCTTCAATGCGTGATGAAATGTTAAAAAAGTTGCATATCGATACAATTTGGACTGGTAGCTTCAATAACAAACAGTCTTAATATTTTGTTATATTTTCCCAGAAAATTCTATTTTTTTGCCTCTGTGTGTGTGGAGATTATGAATACGTACATTGGTTTTTGCGCTGACCCTGTTAATAGTAATAACAATAATTGCTTTTTGTAATAAATTTAATTACTATTCATGTTGTTGTTGTTGCAAATTCGTTCTCTGTCGTAAGTTGTAGGTGATTGTGATCCAACAAGTCCTGGGTTCGAGTCCCATTATGTCTATCTCACTCTGGGTAGCTGAGTAGTAGTGTCTATCAGCTCTTCCGTATTAGTTTGTTTATTAGATATGTCACACACGCAGTGAATTAGTATTATTATTTACTAGATGACAAAGTTTCGAACAAAATTTATTACTGTTCATAATCATTTTATCAATTGTAATCAGACGATTTCGAAACTTCAGTTTTTTAATAGTTTTCATTGTTCTCTCCTATTTATCGTCTTAGGTATGGGTAGTAGAATTTTCCAGATGTCCGGGTGAGTGGACAGGTGTTGAATCATTCATTCCTATTACACGTGTTCTCAGTTGATTCGATAAACAAAGCTGACGGTATTAATCCTGCTCCCTCTACTCTTGGTGAAATGTTTAAGTAATAAGGTCACAAAATCTAAGTATTAACAAGCAAAATTTAAGACAGGAAGTCAGGCATATAGGAGAAGCTTTGAAACTTAATTGATAATTACCCTGGTAAATTAATCAGAAAGTATGTAGGGAAATATAAAAATAAAATCTATAATAATAATGGTAGTGATAGTGATAATAGTAATAATGATATTAATGACGACATGCATGTCAAACATGCACAGGATAATGACAACACCAACAATAGGGGATTTAAATCATCAGTAGTACTTCTTCCCATACAAAGAAGGAACTTCGGAAACCCTACGGCGGAGAATTATTAACAATGCAGGCAGGAATAAAAGTGGCTGGCATTCAAACCCATAATCTCAATTAGAAATAAGCATTGTCGGTTAAAAGATCAATCCTGTGGAGCCTTTAAAACAAAACAATTTAGGTTACCTAGTACTCTGCTGGAATGATTGTCAGGTCAAAGTAGTAGAGCGGGATCGATTGGACTAACGGAGCACAAAAGCCCATCAAAATTTCGATTAGTTGGCTTGGTCTCGTAACCTGAAGATCCCGGGTTGAATCCCTGGTAAGTGGGGTCATGACTACGGAATGTTAAAGCATCCCTTAAGAGGATGAAACAACTGTCCAATACTCCTTGGTTCTCACTGACTTCTCTAACTGATGTTGGTTCATTTTCGAATGGACACTAGTCAGTAACTAGAGTAATGTGTGTGTGTGTGTGTGTGTAGTCCTTTGTTTGGTGCAGACTGAATTCTATCAGTCTAGTTTGCTATGTGGCCACTATACCAGCACGGTGCACTGTGAATTGTTGGCATCAGACGGTGGGAGTAAATCGGCAGGAAGCCTTGTTGAACCAAGGTTTCGTGCTTGTCAGCACTCACCAGTCAGTCACCAAGGCGTATCTTCAAACCTTGATGGAACTACTTATGTCCCTCCTTCTGAGATTCAAACCCGCGTCACTCAGTGTGCTGCAGTTAGTTACAGACGTTGCCAATGAGCTAGGTATTCGGGCTTGCGATTGATCTCCTGTAGGACGGTACTGAATATTTTTGATTGGACATTAGTTAGTAGCTACTAGTATAGTGTGTGTGTGTGTGTGTGTCTAGTCCTTTTTGTTTGGTTGGTTGGTGCAGACTGAATTCTATCAGTCAAGTTCACAATGTGCACACCGTGCTAGGTGGCTTGTTTCATGACGAAAATCCAAAAATCGATATATATATATATATATATATATATATATATGTACAACAAATAATCCGTATCTAATTCGTTCATGCCTTTATAGTTATTTACCTATTTTCGTCCAGTAAACATTTTTACTGGACACATTGAAGTGTTATTTGTGATATAACTTTAGAAATTCAACTTGTAACTAGCTTCCTTTAATATTGGACATGATATTTTTGTTGTTTGTTTGTTTGTTTAAAATACTCGAGAATGTAATACTTCAAATAGTAAAAGGAGAGATTTTTTAATATACCTCTTGAATATTGTTGTTGTTGTTGTTGTTATGGTAACTTATTTTGAGAAACATCGATTAGATTTCCTTGTTTAGAATTAAAACAAGCTGCATATAGTGTTTGTAAATAAATATTTCAAACGTGAAATTCAACAACTTTTTGTGCTACAACAGAATAAATGTTTAAATAATCTTGGCCAATGTCCTTTTTTATGGATTTAGGATGGCAGTTTTTCCGCATTTCCCTGTCTTCCAAATGAAATATATTATTATCATTATTATTATTCCCTTGTCTTTTGAGTGAAACGTAGGGCTTCAAAAACACATCTCCACTTTCTCCTATTTTCTGCTGTCCTCTTCAGCTGGATGGCTCCACGAATGCTCACAGTCCCTCACCTACTCTATGTCACCCTCGCACTGACGACCCACTCGACGCTTCCCATCCGGATTCCACAAGAGCGATGGCCTGCATTGAGCACCATATAATTCGACAGTCTCCTCAGTGATGTATGCCCGATCAATCCATCTCCATTTTCTCCTACATATGTGTTGAGCAACCAGCCCTTAGTTGCTTAGTTTGTTCCCATTTATAATTTCTTCTTGCTAATCTCTTTCTGACCGATCGCCTGACCATTTGATCTTCAGAATGGAGCCAGCTAGCAAAGGTGGCAACTGTTGCTAAAAGTCTGCAACAGGCTGTTGGAAATCCTTTTCGTGACACACGCACATTGCAAGTTTCTGACCCATATAGGAGAACTGACTGACTTCCCATTTGTGTTGAATAGAATCCGAATCTTGTTGTTTATGCTGGCTGAGTGAAGAATAAGATTTTCTAACTGGTTTCAGATTGATGAAGGCTTATCTTATTTTTTTGATTCTGGCTGGCTGGCTTTGACATCTTCGTCTGATCTGTCGGTCTGTGGTTAAAACCGTGCCCCCTGGCAGGATAAATGGAGGCAGTAATGTCTGTCAAGCTGCTACAGTTGATAGTGATTGTTGCTGTTTGTTGGTTGGATGGTTACCTTGATCACCTCCGTTTTCTCTGTGTTCACTTGGAGTGCTGTCTTCTCTGGCTGCTTCTTCTGTCAGTTTGTCGCTTTTGTCCGTTGGTCTTCGAGTTTGTTTGACATTGGACATATATCATCTGCGAAATCCAGATCTTATAGAGTCTTCTTATCAGTCCAGCATATTCCTGTCTTCTCGCTCCCCGCGCGCGCTATTCCGCATAACCTAGTCCACCACAATCAGGTGATGATAGGCAGCCAGCCTTGTCTTACTCCTGTATTCACTTCGAACGCCTCACCTGACACGTGACACTGTCATATAGCCAGCTGTTGAATGAGGTTGATAAAGGCTTGGAGTACTGCACGCCATAGTGTTGCAGCAGTTTTCAATATACTTCTCCGTCAACGCTGTCTTGTGAAGGTCTTTTCTAAGTCGATGCGAAACTTAGCCTAGTTTACTAGCCAGTTCCACCACCCCCTGATAAAGAGGAAGGGCCAGCTACCCTACTCCTCCAAAACAATCAAACTGGTAGAGAAAGTTCAACGCACAATAAAAATATGGAATATATATTTGGGCCTCATAATCTTTGAAGTTTCACTATCGGTGATATTGTTTTCTCCCTGGGGGTGCGGTTGTTCGCTTTTCCTTACTACCTATGTTGGCTTGTAAACTGGGGGAGGTATAGCGCTGGGCTTGAGTCCAGACCTGTCCTATGCTGGCAAGCATCTGATCATTGAACTACTGGTGCACAACTGATTGACTCAAATAACAGTAAAGTCATTTATGAATATCACAATCGCTAGGCGTCTCCCTGATACTCGAAATCGAATAGGTATAGACAGAATTCAGTCTGCACCAAAGATAGGACTAGACACATTACACTAGTTACTGACTAGTGTCTAATCTAAAAGGTTCAAGTCATAATCAATTTATATGCATTGCAAAGTAAAAATATTGTAGGGAAGCGGTATGAAGAGATAGAAATAACAATAAACATTGATTGCCTATAAAGTTATGTAACAATCCAACAAGATATTATAATTCATAAGACAATTAAGCTCACGAATATGGACGAATACGCGATCCACGTTAGCAGAATCAAAATGCAGTTTCCAAAGTAGTGATGGATTGCTTCTAATCTCTTTTGGCATTGATAAGTTTAGTTGAAAATATTTGAAATTCGTAATAAAATTGGTATTTCATCATGATCTGACATCGGTTAGAGAACCATTGGAAAACCATCAGGGAGTACTGAAGAACTATTTCTTTCTAGTTTGGGACTCTTCATCAGCACGCACCCACCACAGACCTGGCTCGAAACCAGAACCTTCCGGTCACAAGTCTGGCAATTTCGTAGACCACTAAGCCACTGGGACCCGATCCAGTGGCCCTGTTCATGACATAGCTCCACTGCTACCCAATGTCTTCGACGGGTATTTGTCCCCACACGCGACCTACTGGTCACAACTTCCCAAAAGGTCCTGGGTTCGAACCCTAGCGGTGGTGGATGCGCACTGATGAAGAGTTCCAAACTAGACTGAAGAAACAGCTGTCCAGTACTCCCACCTGGTTTTCCAATGGTTCTCTAATCAATGTCAGCTCATGATGAAATCCTGTAACAAATCAATCAAATCCCTACAAACCAATACTTGAATATTGATATTCTTTCGTATATGACTTAAGATATGCAAATATTTACAAAACGCAATTAACAAACACCTCGTTGATACTGTGTATTCCGACGATATCTCCAAATCCATCAAAATAATAAATTTGCAGACTACTTCATACACGTAAGTGTATGTAGTTTCTCAAAAAGCGCCTTCTGCCCACACTGCCTTTCTAATCGCTGAATTACTTGTTGACAATTCATTGTAGAATATCCAGAGCAGAAGGTCTTTTGTAGATTTACATTATATGCTTATAGTTTCC